AGGAGATAGTATATACTGTACACATATGGTACGGAAAAAATCCATACCAGGATCTAAACAAGAAGAAACCTGGATCTGGCGATTTCTGGTGCTAAGTTGTAGAGATTTTTATTTTCAGTCTTTTGAAATTTACTCACAATTTTGTCATGTTATAATAATTAATATTAGTTCATTTTACTTTCATTGAAATTATATTCAATTACACACACACACACACACACACACATATATATATATATATATATATATAATTTTATAACAAAATTTTATTTAAAAAATATAAATAATTTATATATTTAATTTTATAATTTTGCATAAACATTTTATTTGATCATACGTGTCAAACTGTAAAAGACCAACCGTTAATCAAATGTTTACACATTTTTTATAAATGTATAAACATTTAAACATGTATTAAACATAAAAGATTCATCATCATTAACAAAATATAACTGAGTAGTGAAATCTTCATGCTTTTGAGACTTTGGTAATGATTTATCTTGTTTCTATTTACTGCACTCTGTATCGCATTTTTTATGGCAACAGCGTACGTATTTTCATACGCGTTTTGACTAGCAATGATTTTCAGCTGAAAATGTATTTCAAATTGAAATTTTAAGTTTTAATTGATGTGTTTCAGTTGGCTATTAAATGGTTTAGTTTTTCAGTGTTCATGGAGCAGTGTTTTTTTGTGTGTGTGTAATTAATTAATTTCATTTGGTTTGATAATGGGTAACAGAACATGAAGCAACATGCTCACATAAAAATCTCTCTTTTTTGGAGAAATATTTGCCCAATACAATATGCAAAAAAAAAAAAACTTTAGAGGAAAGAAAATTAATCCAAAAACAAACGAATCTAAAAACATTGTTTGCATTGTTTTCTCCTCATTATATTTTCAGCAAGTTAATTTTAATTCAAATATTTTAATTATCACCATGATGGGTTTTTATGTCTTGTCACCATTACAGTTTTCAAATGTGTTAAAATCAAAAAACTCTTTGTCAACGAACATTTTCGTTGGTAATTTCCTTGATGGGATTAACACTGGCGGTGTCCTAACACATATGCGTGTCCCTCTCTCTCTCTGTTCCTCTCATTCACGTTCTGTGATTTGGCCTCCCGCCAGCATCTATATCTCACCCTCAGCTGTGCCGGCGAGCTCCAGATGTGCCAAAGGTGTGTTTTTTTCCTCTCTTTTTCTCCCTACGTGTGTTTGTGAGTGTGTGTATGTGCGTGTGTCTGTGTGCAGGTTTTGCCAGCTGACTGCACCGTTTGATAACCCGCTCTCTGGATGCCCATCACCGGCCGCAGAGATAGAATTAAATGATGATGATCTTCCCACGAGTTGGGTGTGGAAACAGTGCGTATAAATCTTGATTTCATCTCAGCGTGAGAAGTCTTTATCCATCATCACTCTTAATGAACAAGTCATTAGGCGCGATGAATGGCGCGCAGGGCCCCGACGTTCTCGCCGACGCTTTTGTTTGCGGCTTTTGGGGGGGCAACTTCTGCACCCTTTCGAGGGGGTCAAACTTATTTGGTCCAGATGTGGGGGTAACCTCTCCAGCCCCCCCTCCTCCGAGGTGCCCAGCAAGTACTAAGCAGAGCTGGAAAAAATTAGAGTAAACAGAAAGAGGCCTGATTGTTCCGCCCTGAAGCTCCTGATGCGATGCCATATGAAAAGTCATTTTTAGTCATTTTAGGTCTCAGTGGTCCTTTTTTATGGTTCTTTCTTATGTTAAACAACTAGCTTGAGTCAAGCTTGTGTTCTAGGAATAATAAAAAGATTATAGCATTTTTATGGGAATTGGTAACTATTTTTCGTTTTAGCGAATTGGTGGCTAATTTGCACGATCTGCTTGCATCCTGCTAAGGATAGGTTTAAGAGTAGACCTTCATGCTGGCTTTTTTCTAAGAATCATACTTTTCTACACAAAGCACATCATACAAATTCATACAAAATCATCAGCTTGTAAAATAGTTAAATTTTTTCATGAGATTGAGTTGGAATATTTCACCCCAAAATCATTTACTTGCCTATATGTCATTCCAAACGTGTGAATTTCTTTCTTCCGTGGAACACAAAAGGAAAACATTTTAATAATGTAATAATTTTCTATATTTTTTACAAAAGCGGCTGTGTCGTTCAAGGAAAAAAATGCTAAAGTTATATTATAGTGGTCCAAACAACAATATTTCCAAAAATTGGTAACACTTTAGTTTAAGGACCAATTCTCACGATTAACTAGTTGCCTATTATCATGTATATTACTAGCATATTGGCTGTTTATTATTACTTATAATAAATTATCCACCAATAAGCTGGTGTGTGGTGGGCGTTCTGGCGCACTATGGCTGCCGTCGCATCATCCAGGTGGATGCTGCACACTGGTGGTGGATGAGGAGATACCCCCTGACAATGTAAAAGCGCTTTGAGTGCCTAGAAAAGCGCTATATAAATGTAATTAATTATTATTATATTATTATTATTATAAAGCACATATCAATGTCTTATTCTGCATGACTATATTTTAGATCCCTTAATTTGTTTCCTTTACTTAACAACTACCCTACTAACTATTAATAAGTTGCAAATTAGGAGTTTATTGAAGCAAAAGTTGTAGTTAACACCGTGTCCTAACTTCACGCAACAAAAGGCATCTTTTCCATGTTAATCAGAGTTTTTGTCCTAAACAGCCGTGATGGGGACACGGGAAGTTTCTATTTTAGAAACGGTTTCTATTTCTGCGATGTCGCGGCTGGAACAACAATATACAAACTATGACAATGATAATCTCAGGTACCGATTATGCGCTTTATTTCATGTTAAAAGTGTCTAATGTGAGTTTGAACATCATTTTGCATGACATTTATAGCCATACTGAAGCCAACAATAGACAGTTTACTTCAGATCTTAACCCTGGGGGGTTATTGCTGCTCTCCCTGCTCTCATCCATGCTAGGCTGCATGGATGCGCAGGGAGTTCTTGCCCAGAACAGAACCATACCGCCAATCCAAACTGTATGCTAATTGTCAATCATCTTTGACGATAGTGGTCCTGACAGAAATAAATTAAAGCAAACATTTACATTAAGACTGTGAACTCAATGCAAACCAACAAGTGTATTCCATAATGGTATCAGTCACTCAGTATGCACTTTTAATAATGTTAAAAATATTTAATATTTCTGAATTAGATTACAAACTTGTCCATTTCACTGGGAGTGCAGTGTGCTTCTCGCTTCTGAATAGCTGTGATATTTGAGTGATTCTGTCGAGTCTCGTTGTCGTGTCGTGTCTGGTGTGGACAGCCAAATTGCTTGTCGCTGGAATCTTAGGACATGGTGTAATAGTTAGTTAATAGTGAGAATTGGTACTCAAACTAAAGTGTGACCCAAAAATTATTTGAATGATTGGTCTCAATGATTTGTTCATGCACCAGACTAAGCTGTCGAGTTCACAACACTGATTTGAGAAACAGATCAGCTTAAACCATGATCCAGATCAACTGAAAACAATGATCAGAAATCAAACATCATCACTTCTACCCAACAAAGAGAACGTTTCAGTCCCTATTTTTGCAATTGTCCTCAATTTTTTTTTTCCTGTGTGTGTGTTCTTCAGAAGAAAGAATGCAACATGGGTTTGAATGAGGATGAGTAAAGTATGTGAGCGTTTTCATATTTGGGTGAACTATTCCTCGGGAGTCTTGAGGGAGTTCTAGTGAAATCCCAGAGTTCTGTGATGATATGAGACTACAGAGAGAAACTCTACAGGGAACTGGAATGTTTAGAGGTTCGGTCTGTTAGACTGCACCCTTTGTTTTGTTTGCATACGAGGGCCTTCAGTGTTATTTTCCCCTTTTTCTTAAGCTACACTGGATCTTCTAGTTAAAAAGTTCAGGCAATTCTCTGAGGCTCTTGTATTTGCAATCTAGATGAACTTAAAAGCCTTCTTAAAGAATTTAAGAGCATTTTCAGCGTAGCCCCGGGCTACCGAAAGCAGACGCTGTACCACCTGCATCAAAATTGAATGAAACTGCACACGACTCTTTCAGCTCTGTAAAGTAGAACGATATTTATTTCGTGAAGAAAGATGCTTCTCAAAGCTGTTTCCCTCAGAAATGCGAAGAAATAGAATTTGACACGGGGTAATCGTATTTAACTTCTCATACGCTTGCAGAGCATATACTTGCATTCAAGCTCAAAAACAGCACACAGATTCTGACTTTCCTTGTTAGTGACAGCTGCCATGTTTTAATGTCACATTCTCGTAGGCTTGTGACTCTGAAGCCCTCGAGATTCTGCTGGGAATCACATCACTCAGTATGTTTGATAATATCTCTTCATCATTAAACTAGACACCTTTCATTCTTTAAACACCACTCTATTTCTCATGGCATTTAACAGTTGATGTTCTCCCTTTGTGTTTCTTCTTTTTTCCCCCTCCAGCCTCCTTCCTCTCTTTTAGAGAAACAGCTTTTATTTGACCACTGATATGACTGGAGTCTTCATTGCATATAGAACCGTTTTAGTTTTATTTAATAAATGTAATAAAATATTTGAACTAAATTGTAATGTTTAGCATGGTTATGACAAGCAACAAAAATAATATGTATCTAAATTGTGTTATTTATCTTCACTATTGCAGCAGATAACAGTTCAGACAAGCTTGGTGTGATGGTATGGCCCATGTTGAGGTGCGTGGAAAAAAACAACCCCCCATTACTGCACATGTCAGCGTCATAAACAACAGATCGGGCCATGTGGACGCAGGCACAGCGGTAATGGAGGCTGTGCATCACTGTTCAGCACAAGGTCTGCAACCTCTACAGGACTCACCTGAACCACACAAAGAAAGAGAGAGAGAGGAGGGGAGAGAATAGATGTGCTGGTGAGGTGATGTTGAAGGTAATGTTGATAACTAACTGTGGGTAGTGTAGATGACTATTATAGCGAGGATGAAGATGATGATCATCACAAATTTTGGAAACGGATTGGACAGCGCTGTACACTCGTTTGGCTCTGATCATTCCCTTGTACATTATTTATTGTTGTAGTTGCTGGTGCTTCAAGAATATTTAAAGGAATATTTTTAAAAATGCAAGGTAAATGAATATTTGTAGGTCACTATTCTTTTAAAGGGGTCCTATTATGCTCTTTTACAAAGTCTTGATTTTGTTTTGGGGGTGTACTAGAACATGCTCTCATGCTTGGTGGTTCGAAAAACGCATTATTTTTCACATAATTTACATTATTAAAATACCTTTCTCCCCATCCTGGCACAAACGGCTCGATTAGTTCCGGCTTTGATGAAGGTCCGCCTTCCGAAAAACAAAATGTGTTGTAATTGGTTAGCTTTCCCAGTGCGTTGTGATTGGCGAACAGCTTAGACAGTGTTTCAGTACTGCCACGCCCCTTGCTCCGTCTTTCAACAAAAGCTTTTGGCGAGGCAGGCACTGTACTCCCTCATGTTGTGGAAGCTGTCCTCAGTAAAATGCGCAGCACACAATAGCAAATTGGGGTTATAATGCTCAGAAACAGAGTTAAAAAATAAATTGAAACCACTGTTTCCTGACATCATCCGCTTTCGGAAGCCCAAACAAAGACGTTTGGGCACGGAGGTGAAAAGTTTCAGGCGGTCGCACACCGGGCGAGAAGCGCAGCATCATGTCGCGTCTTTAAAATTCAAATACTTTATTTTCTATGAGTGTAGGCACACCGGCGGCGCCGTTCGGCGTCTGTCCGCGGTGCACAGCTACGTCGTGTTGTACTTGTAAGAATTGTTCTAGACATGCCGAAAATTTGACGCTACAGCACAGCAGCTCTTCTTCTTGGTTTTCTCTGATGCACTAACTCTGCAGCAGCACTTCTTCATCGTCGTCTCGTCTGATGCACTCACTCAACCAAGCGTTCTAACCACAACCTCGCCCCTCCCCACCCCCCAACCATTAGAATTTCTGTAGGCGGGAATTATTTGTAATGATATTCCAATGAGCCGCTTTGTGATATCACAAAGCCCGGAAACCAACGCTGTAGTCCAAACGAGCCGTTCATTGTAGTTCT